ACCTCTCAACGCCCCCAGTGCTGTCTACCCCCCAGGTGGGCGAGCCTTTATTCTTGTACCTCGCCGCCTCAGCCAAAGCAGTGAGTTCGGTGTTGGTCCGAGAGGAGGACCGAGTCCAGCACCCGGTTTATTACGTAAGTCGCTCGCTGAAGGCCGCTGAGACGCGGTACACCGTTCTGGAAAAGGTTGTGTATGCATTGGTAGTCACCGTGCGCAAGCTGGCACCCTATTTCCAAGCCCATACCGTTCGAGTTTTGACAGACCAGCCGCTCGGAAGCGTGCTAAGAAACCCCTTGTCCTCCGGCCGACTTGTAAAGTGGACCGTAGAGTTGACTCAGTATGGGATTGAGTACCAACCCCGGCCTTCCATTAAGGGTCAAGCCTTGGCCGACTTCCTGGTCGAATGCACGGCAAGTGAGGAAGAAAAAGAACACGCCTCGGAGAGCTGCCCAGGCGAGTGGTGGGAAATGCACGCGGACGGAGCATCGAGTCGACAGCACTGTGGAGGCGGTGTCATGCTCATCACTCCGGAAGGATTCCGGTTATATTACGCTATGAGATACCGGTTCTCGACATCAAATAATGAGGCCGAGTACGAAGCGGTATTAAACGGCCTCCGACTCGCCAAGGCCCTGGGAGTCGAGCGGCTGCGAATCAAGACTGACTCCAGACTGGTAGTCGGACAGATCTCGGGTACGTGTGAAACTAAGAATGCGAGGATGGTACTATACAAAGAGCGTGCGGTCGAGATGTTAAAAGGGTTCGGGGCTTACGAGATAGAGTACATACCCCGCGCGGACAACATGGAAGCCGACCTATTGTCCAAAATTGCCCTGGAAGGGGTACCGGACCACCTGATAAAAATTTGCCAGAAGGAGGAGCTAAATCGGCCGAGTGTTGAAGAGGCACCACTGGAAGTCCAGCGAGTAGATATCGAGGAATGGGATCGAGGGAAAAATCCCGAAATGTTCTGGATAGAGGACATCCGGCGATTCATAGAAAAAGGCGAGTTACCGGAAGACCCGGGAGTCGCCGCGAGAGTTCGGCGGAAAGCCCCTTCCTTCCAGATCATCGGCGGACAGCTATACAAACAGTCGTTCGGAGGACCCTTACTAAAGTGCCTGCTTAGACCCGAGGCCGAGAAAATAATGGACGAAGCTCATAGAGGCATTTGTGCCGTGCACCAAGGCGCCCACACGCTCGCCCGGAAGTTAGTCGTCCAGGGGTATTATTGGCCGACCATGATGCGAGACTGCATCGAATGGATGTCCAGGTGCGGCGTCTGTCAAGCATTCGCCAGGAAAAACACCCGGCCGGCCACCTTTTATACACCGGTCACCACTGCTATCCCCTTCGCCAAGTGGGGAATAGACTTGTTGGGGCCATTGCCCGTCGCCCCGGGAGGTCTGAAGTTTTGTGTCGTGGCTATCGACTATTTCACCAAATGGGTCGAGGCAGAACCATTGGCTACCATCACTGAGTACCAATGTCGACGTTTTATGTGGAAAAGGGTGATATGTCGCTTCGGCCTGCCCGAGCACATCGTCAGCGACAACGGGCGACAGTTTGACTGCCAGGCCTTCGCTGATTTCTGCCGCCGACACGGTATCAAGCATACCAAGGTCTCGGTGGCGTACCCACAAGCCAATGGGCAGGTCGAGAATGTGAATCGAACGTTGGTCGATGGGATCCGGAAGAAGCTCGAAGACATCCGGGGAAGTTAGGCGGACGAGCTTGACCGAGTCCTATGGGCTTATCGCACTACCCAGCGGCGAGCGACGGGGGAGAGCCCGTTCTCGCTCGCATACGGCTTCGAGGCCAAGGTTCCAGTCGAAGTAGTCGAGCCCACCCACCGGGTTCGCACCTACTCGGATGCAGCGAACGAAGAGAATTTGCGGATCGAGAAAAATTTCCTAGAAGAAAGGAGGGAAGCCGCGAGTGCACGGATGGTCGAGTACCAGCGGGCGGTGAAAAGATATCGCGACCGGAGGACTCGCCCGCGGACCTTCCAGGTTGGCGACCTCGTGTTAAGCGATCGACAGGCCAGTCAGCCCACCGAAGGGGGCAAGTTTGCGGTTAAGTGGGAGGGGCCATACCGTATCGCAGCGGTGGTCCAAGCCGGAACCTATAAGTTAGAGACTATGGAAGGCAAGCTCATAGATCGCATATGGAATGTCACCCATTTGAGAAGGTTCTATCAGTAGAAAAGGATAGGCCGCGTACGTGCTCAAGGATTCCAAAAATCTAAATAAAGCACATGGGTTACAGTTAATCGACCGAGGGGCTCGACAAGAAGAGATAGGAAACAAGGGCCCAGACCCTTAGACGTTTCCGAGAAAAAGCCTACAGGAGTCGCCTCGACTGAGGGACTCGGCGAGTATTAAGAGAAACGGCGGGGCACTGACCCTAGACTGTTTCTGAGATAGAAAAAGCCTAATGGGTCGCCTCGACCGAGGGACTCGGCAAGAAGAGATAGGAAACAAGGGCCCAGACCCTTAGACGTTTCCGAGAAAAATCCTACAGGAGTCGCCTCGACTGAGGGACTCGGCGAGTATTAAGAGAAACGACGGGGCACTGACCCTAGACTGTTTCTGAGATAGAAAAAGCCTAATGGGTCGCCTCGACCGAGGGACTCGGCAAGAAGAGATAGGAAACAAGGGCCCAGACCCTTAGACGTTTCCGAGAAAAAGCCTACAGGAGTCGCCTCGATTGAGGGACTCGGCGAGTATTAAGAGAAACGACGGGGCACTGACCCTAGACTGTTTCTGAGATAGAAAAAGCCTAATGGGTCGCCTCGACCGAGGGACTCGGCAAGAAGAGATAGGAAACAAGGGCCCAGACCCTTAGACGTTTCCGAGAAAAAGCCTACAGGAGTCGCCTCGATTGAGGGACTCGGCGAGTATTAAGAGAAACGACGGGGCACTGACCCTAGACTGTTTCTGAGATAGAAAAAGCCTAATGGGTCGCCTCGACCGAGGGACTCGGCAAGAAGAGATGGGAAACAAGGGCCCAGACCCTTAGACGTTTCCGAGAAAAAGCCTACAGGAGTCGCCTCGATTGAGGGACTCAGCGAGTATTAAGAGAAACGACGGGGCACTGACCCTAGACTATTTCTGAGATAGAAAAAGCCTAATGGGTCGCCTCGACCGAGGGACTCGGCAAGAAGAGATAGGAAACAAGGGCCCAGACCCTTAGACGTTTCCGAGAAAAAGCCTACAGGAGTCGCCTCGACTGAGGGACTCGGCGAGTATTAAGAGAAATGACGGGGCACTGACCCTAAACTGTTTCTGAGATAGAAAAAGCCTAATGGGTCGCCTCGACCGAGGGACTCGGCAAGAAAAGATAGGAAACAAGGGCCTAGACCCTTAGACGTTTCCGAGGGAAAGCCTACAGGAGTCGCCTCGACTGAGGGACTCGGCGAGTATTAAGAGAAACGACGGGGCACTGACCCTAAACTGTTTCTGAGATAGAAAAAGCCTAATGGGTCGCCTCGACCGAGGGACTCGGCAAGAAAAGATAGGAAACAAGGGCCCAGCCCCTTAGACGTTTCCGAGGAAAAGCCTACAGGAGTCGCCTCGACTGAGGGACTCGGCGTGTATTGAGAGAAACGACGGGGCACTGACCCTAAATTGTTTCTGAGATAGAAAAGCCTAATGGGTCGCCTCGACCAAGGGACTCGGCAAGAAAGAGTTAGGAAACAAGGGCCTGGACCCTTAGTCGTGCCTGCGGAAAAGCCTTAAAAAGTCGCCTCGACAGAAGGACTCGGTGAGCAGTTAAGAGAGACTAGGTTAAAGGACAAAGCGTCGAGCTCAAGATAATACAAAAAGGAATAGAAAAGGGGAATTTCATTAAAAAAGGCCCGAAAAGGAGGCCAGCCTTTACAAAAGGGGGCTATCCCCAAACAGAACAGCCCTAAACTACAGGGGAGGGGGTGTCGACATCAATCCCTTCGACTTGGGCCCCTGCCGTTGGTCCAGTCAGGGGAACAGAAGAAGGGTCCTCGGCCTGAAGAGAGGACTCGGCGAGCTCAGGAGGTGTCGCTGAAGGAAGAGTCGCCGGATCAGAGGCTGCCGGAAGAGCTGCCGGATCCCCAGTCGCCGACTGTCCTTTAGTCGCCGGAAGAGCATCTATCATGGGCTTGAGGCCCCAGCTCTCGGGAGTGAAAGAAGAGTCGCGGACCAGCAAGGCAGAATGGATCTCAGTCTGCGCCTCGCGAAAGCCGAGGCGATAGTCGCGCTCGCCCAAGTCCAGGAGGAACTCGTCACCATCCGGCGTCGACAGCCACTCCTTAGCAATCTCTTTTTGGCGAGCCTCTATCGCCGCCTTCACCTCCGCCTCGAAGGCGGCCGACTTCTTGTACTCCTCAACAGAGGTCGCAGCAATCGTCGCCACCTTGTCTCGCTCCTCCTCCCACTGACGAGTAACCCTCAGCATCTCAGAGTTGTGCACCTCCACCACCTTGAGGTGCTTCGCCCGCTCTTCCGAAAAGTCCTCCTCCGTCTGACGCAGCTTGTTGGACAGAGACCGCATGTCGGTCAAATAGTTCTGCAGCCGCTTACTCATCTCCATCTGGAAGGTGAGGTTCTGTGAAACGGACACGAGTCAGGTAATGAAAGGAAAGGACGAAGGGAAGGTCAAAAGGGAAACACTTACGCGGTACGATTGGCGCAGTGAGGCCTCGAGGATGTACCCGTCCCCCAGAGCATGAGTCGCCTCTACGTCCTTAGGTAGAAGGACGTTAGCACACCACTTACGGACAGAGGAGGTGCCCATCCAGATCTGGGCATCCTCCTCTACCACATGGCATAGCCGGATCCTTTTGGGAGCCGACTCGTCAGTTTGAACAGCCGGGCGCTTAGAGCCGGAACTCTCTGTCTGAGGAGGAGGTGGCTGTCGAGTGGGCGACACCACTGGCGACGGAGTCAGATCCACCACGTTTTGAGGAGGAGGAGGAGTCGGCCTGGGAGCCGGAGACGGTAGGGAGGAAGAGGCAGCAGCAGTACCGGAAGAGCGTTGGATCAGCCGACGCCTCATCTTTTTGGCTCTGTCTGCCATCTCGGGAGTCGGTTCAACCGCCTCGTCGGAGCTGGAGGAGTCGGAGTCGTATGGACCTGTAAAAAGGAAAGAGAAAGCATGAGGTGTTCCGAGTCGGAATATGGCGAGATAGGAAAAGAATGAGGGGTAATGAAGACTACCTACGGTGGCCGCACCCTCCGGTAACAAGCCACGCTTAGCCATGGCCTGGACTCGGGACCAGTACTTGACGGAGTACGGCCCGAAGCCCTTCAAGAACTCGCCGCCCAAGACCGCATCATCGGAGGGAACGGCACGTCGAGGACAAGGCTTGAATAGAGCGGCCGGCCACAGGGTCGGAAAAGTAAAAGAAGAAAGGGCAGGGCGGACGAAGAAATAAAGGAGCTTCCAATCCTTGATGGAATCGGACAGCCCCTCGAAAAGCTGTCGCCCCGGGCGAGCGGCGACTTGAACAAAGCCCGGCGAGTGCGAGCCAACCTTGTTTACGGTAAAAAGATACCGGAACAGGTCGAGGTCCGGCTCGCACAACCACCAGTGGCAGAGATTGATGAAGCAAGTAAGGAGTCGGTGAGAATTGGGCACTAATTGGCCCGGAACCAAGTTATAATGGCGGTAAAAAAGAGAGAGAAAAGGACATGGAGGAACTCGGAAGCCGAAGGCAACCGAGTGTAGGTGAATACCGACACAACCCTCGGGTGGGTCGTAAATTTGCCGGCCCTCCGGGGCAAGGACTACGGCCGAGGGCCCAAGAAGGTACTGGGCCATCTCCAGATCCGCCGCAGTAGCGACGGACGGCGGCCCGGAGGGGCGGACGATTGGATCGAACTTGCCCCGCGGCCGTATAACGCCACCCGGCAGAGCCGCCACCGTCGTTAGAGGAGCGGGGCTCAGCGGAGTAACCGCCCCCGAAGAAGAGGGGCTCGGAGGAAGAGAAGATGTCGATGGAACGTCCGAGGGAAGTTCCGTATGACGGAGGGAAGACGTCAATGGAACGTCCGCCGGAAGTTCCATACGACGAAGAGGAGAAGAGGAAGACGAAGAAGGAGAAGAAGAAGAGGGAGAGGTCGCCTCGGTGTTGTCAACCGAGTAACGACGAGAAGAAGAAGAATGTGAGGAAGAAGACATTACCTAGGTCAGGAAGGAAATTGGAGGAGGAACAGAGTGGCCGGAGAAGCTCGAAGTTGAAGCTGAAAAGGAAGACTGGAGAAGAGAGTGGAAAGAGAGACGAAGTGGCTATTTGAAGGGTAGGAATTTCAAAGGGCGGCCACGTGCCACCTTCTCGTTGGAGGGGATGGAGGTGACGAGACGTGAAGGGACGCCGCATTTAATGCCTCAAAAGGCGGGGCGACGGTTCAGGTCTAGGGTTAGCTCACAGACGGCGCGTCTGCCCTAGGCTAGGGTCGAACGTCACGTGACCCGGCCTGCTAAGCCGGAAGCACGTAGTGGGCCATGGCCTCTGAGCCCACGAGATACGAGCTGGAAGCTTCTAGAAGCAACCCGGTAGAACCCGGCTCATCAAATGATATCGGCCGAGCTCACGAAGGAATTCCGGTTGCGGGGTCGGCGATCAGACTCGGCGACTCCCTCGGCAGGAGGATCTCGCCATAGCAAGACTAGGGGTCAGTCTCATAGATCCGAGGTCGGGCGACAAAATAGTAAGAAATTGCGGGGTCGGATAGAAAAGCACACCGTTTATTTAAATTAATACGAAGATTACAAGGCCCAGAACTCGGCCGGTGCAAACTACAAGAGAAAAACAGAGTCATGGCTTGGCTTCCTTCTCTGTCGACAAGCGGGCAGCCGGAGGACCCTCTAGAAAGTATTGGGGACGGAATGGTAGAGGACTCGGCTCAGGCTCTGGCATCTCGTCCAGATACACGGCCGGCTTCCCATCGTCAATCATTTGTAAAGGCCTCTCCAGAGCGCTCGGCAACATGGCAACGCCAAAAAGCGGAGGAACCTCCCACACCTCTTCCTCCTCGGGAGCAGGATTCCCGACCTCTGGTCCGGGATCCTCCACCACAGGCTCCATCTCCACATCGATAGACTCCCTACACATCAGGTCCAGCATGTCCGGAGGCACCACGATGGGGTCTGAAGCCGAGTCGCCCACCAGACGACCTCCGTTAGCCAGCCTTTTCTGCCTCAACTGCTCCAGTCGAGCATGCTCCTTATTGCGAATAGACCAGCGGCGATCACCATCCCTGTAACTCATAGCACCGTGCTTTCGCAAAATGAAGAGTGTTGCGATTTGCATCAACTGCGAAGGGTCTTTATATAGCCCAGGGAAGGCGAATATCTAGGCGATAATTACGGAAGAGACTGGCATAACTGAGCCGGATTGGACGGATGATGAGAATCTTTGTCAGAGATTAGTTCCATCAGATCCGCCCGGGAAGAGCAAGATTCGCACGCCAACATAGAAAAGATTGGATTTACCCGAGCTATGGGGAATCTTGCAGGTGTCAGACTGAAAAGAACCTGACGATGTGACCGACTCCTTGACCAGTCGTCCGGGTGGGTACGCAACAAAACACGACAAAACATAAGGCAAGACGAAAATAGCACTTTTATTATTATTATGGAAAAGAGGGTACAAGCAGCAAGGAGCTTATTACAAACAAGGAATATGAAAATGCTCCTAAAAAAGATTCCTCCGAGCTATGACCGACCCCGGTACATAAGGTCACTCGCCAGGCGAGGAAGAGTCGCCCCCAAAGAATCCCCCCGATGGTCCAGGGGGAGAGGGGCAGAACGAGTCCCAGAAAGCTGGCATGAGCGGCGGCGCAATGGGTTCCTCATCATCCGGATACGCCTCCAGGTAGCGGGCGTAACCCTCGTCGTCCATAAGGCCTGTGACCGGCCCGTCCGGGTCGTCCAGCGGGATGGAGAAAGTCATTTTGAAAGTCAATTGTTCAGGGACGGCCACCTCCACAAAGGATCCATCTTGAGAAGTCACCCTGGCGGTTGCTGGAGTCGGCGGACGAAGCAAAGGCGGCACGACTTCTCGCTGAGGTGGGGTCGACAGCTGAGAAGCTGAGGAGGTGGCACCAGCAGGAGATCTCCGAGGAGCCGGACGAGAAGCTTTTTTCTTGCTTTCCCTCTCAGGACGAGTCCGCTTAGAAGGCAGCGGACGCCGAGGAGACCCGAAGTCAATTCGCTTCCCTTTCAAGGGAGAGCGACCCATGATGAACTTGTGAAGACAAGAGAGAAGGAAGGAGGCCATTTATAGGTGCCAAGCCTAGATGAAAGAATCCCAACGGCTCCGCGAGATCCGGAGAGGATGGCTGATGATCCGGACGTTACAAGGGGCTATTCAGGGCACGGATACGGTAATTAAAGGAGACGAGCGGTTGCTACTTTTCCAAACCCAGGTTGGAGGACCGGGTATGGAAAAGTGAGGGACTAGTTGATGGGGTAAGGACCCCGGCCCAAGAGATGGGGGCCCAAAGAAAATAGAAGTGGGCCAGCATCGAGAGGAGCCCAAAGAGCAGTCAGGTCGAGTCCAGGAGTCGGCCAAGGCCCAAGCCCAGGAAAGGACCCGGCTCGAGGAGCCGTTGAGGGCATTAAAGGGGTTCCTTTAAAAGAGAGCCGTTGAAGCATTGAAGACAGGACCCGGTCGGGCTGTTACAAGCCTAGGAGAGCCGTTGGTCGACCGAGTAATAGCGTCCAACGGCTCCATATCTTGATTAGCCTTGAAGTCGGCCATTAAGGGCCTTCAAGTCGGCAGAAGAGGAGCCACTATATAAAGGCTCCTCCATTTTTGTAAAGGGGGGGACACATCTTTCGGACACCCGGAAGAGGGGAGAATAACAAAGAATTTCCGAGCACTAACATTATCTCTGAGTTAGACATATATATTATTGAGAGGTGTATCCACCGACCAAAGGTTGTGTTGGACCTCCTTGGGCCCGAAAACCCTAAAACCATCATTATGTTTGTTCAGTTCATTCTCTTAGCTTGATGCCAAAAAGTGCTGGTGTTTCTCAATTGCTTGAAATTGTTGTCTGTAGACTTACAGTTTATTAGATTCTTTTTTTAACTATTATGTACATTGAAAAAAAAAAAAAAAAAAAGTGAACTATTAACATGAGTCACTGCACAATACCCTCTCTAAATTAAATGCTTGGATGTTAATTTCCAGAGTGCAGGTATGGTAAACTTATTGTGTAATGGACTATGGACTAAATAATCCATATTTACATGTTTAAGAAAGATAATTATTTTATTGAATGTACAACACATTTTAATATATTTAAACTAATAAACATAAACATAAATTGTACTCCTTATATATAAGCTTTGCTAAACAGATCAGATTTAGAGTAATGAACTAGGTTGGTACAGATCAGATGTCTTATATCTAATAAATCACATAATGAAAGTACATTATTCTTCCATTCATTTGGCTCTCACGCTCAATTACTTTAAAAAGAAATTCTCATATGTTTTTTTGTGTTTTTTATGAATATAATGAGCTTATCCTCTCTTCTTTGTTCATATTCCAAAAAGATATGGAAACTTATGCGAGCTGAAAAATATTCGGAGGACTCTTCTCTGACAAAATCAAAAAAAAAAATATGTAATTGTCAGCAAAGTTGTTTTTTTTTTTTTTTTCAAAAAATAAAAGAATTGATGCATTAAGTATAGATGTCTAGTATCTCTGGGCACCAATTCATGCATGCATGCCTTTAATTTGCTCTTTTTGATTGTCAATCACCTCTTATGAAATTTTGGGATATATGAAGGTAGAGAACCAAGGTATTATTATTGACTATTTAAAACTCTCTTAATTAATTGCCATTATTATATTTATTTAATGTTTTCATTTTTTCAACAGGGGTTAACTCTGTTAGCTTGGGACAGGATAATAAGCTAGTGGTAACGGGGAATTTTGATCCTGTTCTGATTATTACAAAATTGAGGAAACTTGATTTACAGGCAGAATTGGAGTCTGCAGGTCGTGTAGTGAAGAAAAAATTAAAGAAAAAGATGATGAAAAGCAACAGCAGAATGATGAAAAGCAACCTGATATCAATCTGAAGATTTGATGAAGCAAAATTCAAAAGTTAAAACAATAATATGGGACATCCTATCCCAATAAGTAATTGTACAAACAAGGTGGCCGGCCGGCCTGGAATGCAATAATGCAATCTAACAGGGAGATCCTACTCTGCAATTAAGTGCCCCTGCGAACCTAGTAAGCCAAGTCACATCCTCAGCCTTGAATGTCATTACCCCATCGTACAATTTGTGGTGCTTGTCCATGAAATTTGGATCCCCAGACTGAACAAAGAAAGCTCCCTCCATGTATATATCTCCCTGTGATCTCCATGTCCACGTCTTCCATTCTTCCGGAGTCCCCTTAACTCTTTTAGTTATCTCTTTTTTGTGTATGTCTGGAGGAGCAATGAATCGGTTTCCCTGACAAATGATGGTGGGGTGAGAACTCCCTCCAATGGCGTACATGTTCCAGTGTGTATAATCGTTGTTGACCACATGAATGTATCCGTACCGACATCTGGGCATCCTCTGAATCAATCTCTTCCCGAAGTGGTTGAATGCAAGCGTGATTTGCATGATCTTGTCTTTTGTGGACAAATCATTTGCACCGAACAGCATCACATCATTATGATCCGTGAAGTGACCATTCGAAATTGTGATGGCCGTGGATGCTTCGATCGCATCAATAAGCCCGTCGTAACAGTTCCTCATCGACACATGGTCTATCCAAACATTGGAAGAACCAAAGATGGAGATGCCGTCGCCGTCGCTCTTGGTTCGCAGTCCAAAGTGGTCCAGGCCGTCTCGTATCAGGCCGCCGTTACCTTCGAAGATGTGGTGGATGTGGATCCCGTGGATGATCACGTTCTTCACGAACTGAATGGTTATACCGGCGCCATCGCTGATGTGGACTTGGGCCCCACGCCCATCGATCGTCTTATCACCTTGCATGATCAACTCCTGGTGGAGCTTGATGTCCATGTCGTGTGAAAAGATTATCCACAAGGGTTTCTTTTGGATGACCGCGTGTCGGAGGGTTCCGGGTTTGGGGTTAGATGGATCATCGGCGTTGTCAGTAACGGTGTAGAAGTTGCCCAACTTGCCGCCTTTAGTTTTGTACCCAAACCCCAAGGCGCAATCAGCCAACCTCTTCCGGTTGGTAGCCCAATCGGCGTGGCATCGCCAGCAACGATCGATCGGGTTTGTCGCATTACACGGCCCATGATACTTTTTTGAACCCAGAAGATGCCGAGTTGTGTCGTTCCTCGTCACATCCTCAGCCTCAGCCTCAGCCTCAGCTACTGCTTCTGATAGTGTCCTTCGAACTTCGTGAATCAAGGATGCTGAAATGTTATGTGGATTGGGCTCATAAGCCTGTTGGGCATGTTCTATGGCTTCAGCTTCTCGCCTCCGCCACACCTCATCGTACTCAGCAATGTGACCAACCGTTGCGGGGATTATAGCGCCAACACAAACCACCAACAACAACAAACAATTATTTTTGTTAAATCCCTCCATTTTTTTTTCCTAAATATAAAAATAAATTATTATTTTGATAGGGGGTTGAACCGCTATTTTGGGTCCAACCCTTTTGAATTGAACCGACCAAACCTCAACTTTTCTTCTTATTCGGAGAGGTTTGATCGAACAACACTGTTTATTAAGTGATTGAAGAATGTATTTAATACTAAAGTATTTATACTCACATATATTCATTTTACACCATAACTAAATCCTAGAAAGGTGGCATTAATTACCACTCATTTTTCTTGTGGTAAACTTCCTCACAACCACAGAACAAAAATAGGGGGAAAAAAAGTTTATAAAGTAAAATGTAAATTTGATAGTCAAAATTTTCTATCCCATTTTTAAGGATGTTTAATTTTAAGGTACTTCGATCTACATGTTTTTTTTTTTTTTTTTTTTTTTTAAATATAATGTGAAACTTTTTTATCAAATGTTGAGATCAACATGCAATAGCTTATTAGCCGGCTCATAATATAGTGAAAAAGACGTGAAAAAATATTAATATTAATGAACCAACATCCATATGAAATATTCAACAACATAATTAGATGCATGACATATATATGAAATAATATATTAATATTAATGAACCAAGATCCGATCTATATGAAATATTCAAGAATGTAACATATATAAGACATATGAAACTGTTCATTGAAATGGTGTTGCTACTTTCTGATGATCCAAAATTAACACTTATTGATTGGATATAATTAGTTTTTCTTGTGGTATAATACGATTAATTAAGATAAATAATACTTTTTTTTTGGTCATGGGATATTATCGTTGGTTATACTCTTTATTCCCAAAAGGGATAGAATTGCATTCACATGTGACGTTATGTTACTACTTCATGTATAAAAGTCTTGAAAGCTTGCAAAAGTTGAAAGACTTTCAAATTAAATATATACTTTTGTCGAGCAAATTAATTCTAGATATATTTTGTTGGTCCCGATAGAGTGTAGCGAGAGTCTAGAGGGGGGGGGGGGGGGGGTGAATAGACTCTTTTCGTGAAATGCCCTAAAAATCACCTTTCGGTGTTTTGGCGCAGCGGAAAAGTCAGATTCGTTTATTTGCTTTGCACGAGTTTACGATATGAGGAAAGCTTTCGGTAAAGGTGATAATGAGGATGATATGAATGCAGAAAGGAAATGCGTAAGTAAAGAGATAGAGAGGACAAGAGATTTTATAGTGGTTCGGCTAACGTTGCCTACTCCACTCTTCTTCCTCAACTGATGGAAGGATTGCACTATCACTCTTTAGTACAATTACACAAAGACCTCCTTGATCACTAAGCCGGACAGCCTTCGTAGGTTTTTCAACTCCTCGAGTTTACTCCGCCTCTATCAACTTCTTCTTTAGGGTTGAGGTTGGTAGAAAATGATTTCTTGATTTCTCCAACGTGATGAAGTCTTGACTGTGAGAGATGATTGCTTCGAACAAATGGCAAGACTTCTTTAAGGTGTAAGAAAATGATCAATAACCTTCTTCAAGTAACTTAACACCTTAACACTGGTTCACAAAAGCTTTTAGAGATTTGAGAGCGTTCAAGAGCTTTTGCAAGTAAATGAGTCGAGTGAAAGGAACCAGCACCTTCTTAGTCGATGAAGGTGGGTTTATATAGGTGATGAAAATTCATCCGTTGGAGGGAGATGAGATTTTCGAACCTTTTAACCAGTGGGCAAGGACCGAAGAGCTTCATGCATTAAATGCTCCATTAATGAGGTTGTACCATGTATCCGTTGAAGGTATGGAAAGCATTAGGGTTTTGTCCTTTAGCTCCATGAGATGGTACACCTTCATTTAATGCTCATTGATTAGTGTGTCCCATAAGATGAGGTCCTTATTGTCCTAGGATGTTGTCAAATCAGACAGATAGAACATTCTTCTCGTTGTTGAAAAGAAGTAATGCTTGGTAAGAATCGTCTTTAACAAAACTGTCCTTTCGTGATAGTTGACAACTCCTGCTTGACTTTCGTTGTTGTTCATCATGCCTTGTGTCTTCTTTCGTCTTGAAGACCCTAACAACTAGTCATAACTCATTTTCGTGTGTTTGTCTAGCTTAACACGAATTACAGAGGAGTTATGGCAACTCTCGTCTAGGACGAAAGCAGCAATTGAAAAAGCTAATAGTTAGGGGTCTACTTTCTACATTACATTGGTATCATCAAAATCCTAATACAAGGTTCCTAACATATTTTTGTTGGCTCAAATTTCTTTTAAAGGTGGCTATAAATATTATTATTATTATTATTATTATTATGACTAGGCATTTTTATGCATAATATGCGAAAGTTTGAGCCTAATATATTAATACCGGTTAAACTTCTTTAAAAAATTTAAAAATATATTTATTAAAAATATGATTTTTAGCACATCAAAATAATATGTCAACTATTTTGAAAAAAAAATACAATTTGATAAATATCATAAATTAATTATTACCACATTATTTTCATTTATAATGATAAAAATGATAATAATTCAAATATGTGAGCCAATAACTTTGAGATGAAATTAATATAATGACTAATAAATGTAATATGATTAATTAAATTTTCATAATATTTCCTTTAGTTTGTTTTAATTTCCTTAATAAAATGATCAATAAATGTTCCTTAATTGATTAGTGTTAATATATAGGAGATTAATATAATGGAGTTATAACGGGACAATTTTGTGAAGCTAAAATATAACGTACATCATTTTAAATTCTATATACAAATTTATTAGCACTAAAAATATGGAGAATATAACTTGAGCTCACATATATAATACTGTTTTTAGACATTATTATATTGTTAGTTCAAAGTGAGTTGAAATTATAATTTAAAAAAAAAAAAAAAAGTGAATGAATACAAATATGATAATTTGAAAATAAGGTCTAATCTTTTTAAAGTGAAATTATTACTCCGTAAAAGATATCAACTTTGAAGTTTATGATCGTACATGCACAGTTGTAAAATCTGTCCTTAGGAAAGTCCGATCCATACATTTTTTCACCCCCGAATTGTTGGTATGTTACGTTGTTTATTTATTTACTTTGGTAAAAACTTGTGTGATGTCGTCTCACAAATCCTTGTCTATGAGACAGATCGTATTAAGATGAAACGTAGCACTTATATATGCTAGCAAATGTAATATTAAATTAGGAATAAAATATTTATTACTTATATATAAAAATGTATATAGTAATACTTTTATATCAAAATATAAAAATATTACATTTTCCATAACAAACATTTTATTCATAATTAGTATTATATTTATTACTTATAAGTATTACATTTGTACAATGATTCAACCCGACCCGACCCGTCTAACGGATAAATCCGTAGATTGTACTAGGGCTGGGCATTTCGGTTCGGTTTATCCGAACCAGGAAACCGATCGGTTCGGGTTAAATCCGAACCGAACCGAAAAACTGATCGGTTTTCTATTTTTTTTTTTATTATTATTAATAGATATATATTATATTAAATGTTTAAGGTGAGGTTTAAACCCTTACTCATTTGGTTATACACCAAGAGCTTTAGCCACTAAGCTATAGCCACATTCATGTCTATATTCACATTTGTATGCTAATAAAGGTATACATTTTTCATTAAATGTTGCACACTTCAAATATAATGAATAAAATTGTCCGTACTACATTCTTGTTAGACTAAAATACCATTATACCGTTATTACACCGTTGCTATTTAATTTTAAAAGTTTCATAATTCTATCATTATTATCACACACACACACACACACACACACACACACACACACACACACACACACACACACACACACACACACACACACACACACATATATATATATATATATATATATATATATATATATATATATATATATATATATATATATATGATATCTTTTTCCTATTCTTTAATTATCATTTTATTAAAATCATTATATAATTACTTTAATTGTTGATTATATTTTAATTAAATTTCTATGAATAGTAAATCATATATGTGTGTATATATATAAAGATACACACATGTATCAATATATGTGACCATGAACTAGATTAGAGTTATAGATATATTATTTAATTATTGTAAAAACAAAATATAAATTATATCAAAATTGTTTATATTATTAATAAAAAAAATATAAATTTTGTTCATCACTATAATTTTTAAATACGATGATTAAAATTTACTACTTTAAGGAATTGCGAAATATAATTTGAACTATAATTTGTAATTATTTGCATTTATCAATTTTGTAATGTTAGACATAAATTTTCGTGCATCACGCGTACAAAATGCTAGTATTATATATGAATGTTATACTAATTAATCATTTTTACTTCTCAAGTCTTCAAATCTCAACTCCAAGTTGTAAGTCCCAACATTTGGTGTTTTAATAATTTTTATTTTTCAAATATTAACTATAGATGAATGATTCTTCATCTTTTCATCAACAAAACACTTCAAGTGGCACTCCAAGTGAGCCAACTGAACAATCAAGGCAAAAAAAGAAACGTTCAAATAGTAGACTTTCACCAAAACCGAACCGAATACCGAACCGAAACCGAACTTTTCAAAACGAAACCAAACTTTTCAAACCGAAACCGAACTCTATTTTAAACCGAATGGTTTAATTTTTTTAAAACCAAAACCGAAACCGAAAAAACCGAACCAAAACTCGAAGTGCCCAGCCCTAGATTGTATCACACAAGTGTGACCCATTTACTTTTTATTATAAGTAAATAATGAATTTTAGAAGTAATAATATGGATTTATGAACACATTGTATGATATATACTAAGCAGAATTAGTTTTATTAAAAAAATGTATGTATAACAATACAATGTAATATTTAATATTTTAAAAGTTTAATTGTATTATTATTTGAATTTGAAATTGAAATAGCTAATTTTATTACATAGCTAAAGTATTTAAATAAAATAACATGTAATATTTGTCAAAGAAAGGTGCCAATAGAAGTACAACGTTGTTGGAAATTATTCATACTGACATATGTTGTCCTGATATGACAATACCTGGTCAGAAATATTTCACCACCTTTATTGATGACTTCTCAAGATTTTCCTATGTGTATTTACTTCATCATAAACATGAAGCATTAGATGCCTTTAAATCATTTAAAGCTGAAGTTGAAAACCAATGTAACAGGAAAATACACATAGTTAGGTCTGATAGGGGTGGTGAATACTATGGTAGATACAATGAGAATGTGCAAGCACCTGGTCTATTTGCTAAGTTTCTTCAAGAGCATGGGATTGTTGCCCAATACACCATGTCTGGTTCTCCGGACCAAAATGGTGCAGCTGAAAGAAGAAACTGGACCCTTCTGGATATGGTGCGGAGTATGCTTAGCAACTCTAAGCTTCCTAAGTCGTTGTGGGATGAAGCACTTAAGACGGCAACGTATATATTAAACCGTGTTCCAACGTAAGAACTATGTTTATTTTATATATAATTTTTCTTTTTATATATGTGGAGTCAAACTAATTATAATTAAGGTTTAAATGAATATATACACACAAATTATATTAAATATAAAACTTTACCAATAAATATGGCTAATCTCATTTGGCGGGAAAGAAATAGAAATAGAGATTTTAATGAGTGTTATAATAACTATTTCAACAATCAAAGTGTTAGAATCTAATGTTATTTATTAATACATAAAAAATTATAATTAGATGATAAAAATTTCTAAAGAACAATATTTCTCTTTCTTGATTAACTTAGTTTTTACGTACTCCAAGGTAAATTGTTTTGAATATTATCAATTATACCATACGAACTATATATAATATATATACCTTGAAAACAGATTTTTTTTTTTTTTAAAAAAAAAAAAGCTCTGATCTACATTAAATATAATTAGTTATATGCTAATAATATATATGTTGGGTTGGATCAATAACTAATTAATTAATTATTCAGTACTTAATTACCATTCTGGAATGGATTTTATATATATGTTAATTCAAGTGAAATTTGTTTATTCCAATTTAGTTAGCGCATGATTTGTATTAGTTATACATGCATGCATGCAATCATAAAAAATAAAGTACAACGTAATTTTCACCCAAAAAAAAATAATAATAAAATTGCCAGAGCATTTTAAAGATCGAAACAATTACAAAACTTCCTAAAACTTGTTTGGGACATCATGTATGTCAATAATAGCGGTAATGAAATTAAAGAGATCGACTTCAACGCGAGGTGGCAATAATAATAATATAATAATAGATTGAACTAACATGGTAATCCAATCTTGCAATTTAGTGCCCCTGCAAACCTAGTAAGCCATGTCACTTCTTTACCCTTGAATGCTTTTATCCCATCGTACAAATTGTGGTGCTTTGAAACAAAATTTGGATCCCCGGACTGAACAAAATAGGCTCCGTTCATGTAAGTATCTCCCTCTGATCTCCATGTCCACTGCTTCCACTGTTCCGGAGCCGCCCCAACTCTGTGAGTTATCTGTCTTTTGTGAATGTCTGAGGGAGCAATGAACCTATTGCCCTGACTTATGATGGTGGGGTCCGAACTACCTCCAATGGCATACATGTTCCAGTGTGTGTAATCATTGTTCACCACATGGAAGTATCCATATCGGCACCTCGGCATTCTTTGCACCAATCTCTTCCCAAAGTGGTTGAAAGCAATGGTGACTTGCATGATCTTATCTTTTGGTGAATGATCATTTGCGCCAAACAACATCACCTCATTATGATCCGTGAAGTGGCTATTCGAAATAGTGATGGCGGTGGAAGCTTCAATGGCGTCAATCACCCCGTCGTCACATTTCCTCATGGACAAATGATCTAACCAAATATCGGTTGCTCCGAACAGGGAAATGCCGTCACCGTCGCTCCTGGTTCGCAGTCCAAAGTGGTTGATGGAGTCTCTGATCATGCCGCCGTCACCGTGGACGATGTCATGGACGCGAATGCCGTGAATGATGACGTTCTTCACGAATTGGAGGGTGATCCCGGCCCCACCACTGATGTGGACTTGGGCCCCACGCCCATCGATCGTCTTGTGGCTTTGCACCATCAACTCTTGCTTAAGCTTGATGTTCATGCTTCTTGCGAAGATTATCCACAAGGGTTTGATCTGGATCACCGCGTGTCGGAGAGTCCCACGTTTGGGATTTAGAGGATGATCAGAGTTGTCGGTAACAGTGTAGAAATCGCCGTTCTTGCCACCTTTGGCTTTGTACCCAAACCCTAGAGAGCAATCGGCCAATCTCTTCCTTTTGTTAGCCCAATTGGGATCGCAACGCCAGCAACGGTCGATTGGGTTTGTGGCATTGCATGGGCCACGGTACTTTTTTTTTCCTAGATGCCTCCTTGTGCTATTTGTCTCCGTTTCTGTCTCATTATTATTATTTCGGTAGTCTAATATTACCCTGTGCAGTGCCACCAAAATGTAAATATATATATAAATCAACCCATAAATATAACAACAAATATTAATATTAGCGAGCGATAGTAAAATATTTACTTGACAACATTGTGATTCAAGGTGGAAGTAACATTAGAAGGATCAGGTTCATAAGTCTTGAGGGCATGCATCCATGCTTCTTCTTTCCGGTTCTGCCACACGTCATCAAACTCGCTAATGTGACCCAAGCTTGTAGGAATTATTATTGCAGCTAGACTAACAAACAAGAGGGATAAAATCTTGATCTGAAATCCCTCCATTTCTTGGGGAAAATTTTTATTTTGGAAAAAGGGTGGGTTGAACCCTGAATTTTTCTGGGTTCAACCCTCTTCGATCAAATCAAGCCTTACCCCAAACTCGATCTTCTCTTATTGTTATTGAGATAGATGAGATAGATGAAGTGCTCTTCCAAATGAGTTCTTTATATATAACATATAATGTGGATTTTAGTGTTTAACTAGACTCCAAAAAATGTGCATCACCACTTCTTTTACTTGTGGTAATTAATTAAACTCCATTCATCCCATCCGCACAACGTACGAAAGTGAATGCATAGGCCGGGTGAAAATTCTCCATTCCGCTTTTTTTTTTTTGGGTAACCATGCAATAATTAATGAAAGTGAGAATAAATTTTGGATAATGTTAAACGGGTGAAAATTAAAATATTTATTTATTTTTAATGAAAATTTAATTGAGTCTAATCATTATTATCATATCAAAACATTAGTGATTATGGTTCTTCAGGTACAGAAACGGTTACTCCATTTGTTATGTGATTGCAACATTATATTGCTAAGCAGGTGTGGTGTGGGGTTTTAGTGATGTCCTTCAAGGGAAGGCATTTACTGAGTTTGTTGGGGCAACTCTGCGCAAAGCTGATGGCAATGATGCGGTATGTATGGCAGCTAGATTCTGGGTTACGTTGTTTGGTTGTGGCATGGAAAAATATGGTCTCTAGCAGCCATGCAAAATACGGTGGCATCACTGGTGGCACATTGAATGTTACCCCCATGCCGACATCATCCCCCAGTGCATTTACTGAGGTTGTTGTAGCTGCTTTGCCGACATCATCCAGTACGTCTACGCCTGGAACCTTAGTTTGTAATGTGGATGCAGCCCTGCATGGGAATTCAGCGACATATATATGGTGCAGTTCTCCGAGATCATTGTGGTAATTTTGTGGCGGCTAAAAGTGGTCGGCTCCCCTGTGGTAACAACCCGTATCTAGCAAAGGTTTTGGCGGGGGAAGGAGGCCCTCACGTGGATAAAGGATCGCCCCGTGACTGGTTACGTAGTTGAGTCGGATTGTTTAAACTTTTGTAATAATTTCTATTCAACTAGATCAGATTGTTTTTATGTTGGTTAAACAGTGTCCTGCATGTGGCATTGGGAACACTTTGGTTTGCCATGTGAGAAGGGGCTATGTCAGAAGGTCATGGAATCGCTCACATGCTAGCACGGATGACTGGTTCATCCTCTGTTCTTGGAGGGTGGCTTCTGGGCCTCTGATTGTATTTTGGGTTTATTTTAATAAAATCGTGTTGCTGGTTTTCAAAAAAATGGTGTCAATGATACGATAATATGAGATCAATAGTGATGTAGGTTCATCAAACAACATTATATTGAATATTATTCATGATTGTTTATATATATATATATATATATATATATATATATATATATATATATATATATATTTCTGCGTGGAGCAATCATCCCAAATGGGATGGAGAATGAAAAATTATCATTAGAGGACCATATTACTAAATTGTGTAAAATCATCAAGATGACTAAATTGAGTAAAACCATAAAGTCCAGGACTATATTGGGTATTAAGTGATTATGCACTTATTAGCTCTAATGAATATTGGTGATTTTGGACCATACTTCGAAGTGTTTCGATCGAGGATCAATTATTTGCACGAGAACTCCAAAAGTTATTAGCTTATGAAGCTAAAGGCACAATTGGAGGATGGGCTTTGTTGAGTAAAGGAGAAGAAATAATTGCATGTAACTTGGGAGATCAGATAAAATGTTGAAAGTGATGAATGAGTATGATAAATGGAGTGGCAATGTGCACAACAAAGGTTTTAGCCAAGCATTCAAAGATTGTTATGACATGCTTGCTTCTTCCAAGGTTCAGGAACACTATTATTGTTGTGCTCTAAAATATCCATGTACTTTGGACAAGATACCAAAAGATGTAGAATGCCCTCTATGCTCTCACAATATGCATAAGTTTGTCACTTTCACATGTTGTCATGACCAGGAATTGAATTCCGCCACATCTGGGTTATTGTACCAAGTTTGCATTCCACTTATTGTTGACTAAAGTCAAGTGTTATCATTTTCTTAAAGTCCTATGTTGGATGTGATTTATTCTTATGAGATGAGATTAAAAGCTTCGCATCGGACCTGATAATTAAAGAGAAGACACAAAATAATGGTATCCGGCCATAATAGTAGCAGTTGGTTACATTGTGGCATGTTTCCATTAATACCCTCATAACGGCAATAAATAACTTGTACTATACACCAAACATGCTCTAAAATTCTCCAAAACCTGTCACGTTACACTTGTGAGGTTGGACCCACAAGCAAGTAAATTCAGAGGGTAAATACAAATACAAATACTAAATAGTGCCAAGAACTAAGAAATTAAATATTGTGGCTTGGCTTCTAGCATTTATTGGATGAGAATCCAATGAGGGAGTTGGCAAGGTCGAAAGTGACACGTGTCCCCTGTTGCTGTACGTTCCCTATGATCGACAGCGAAGACGACGTCGGAGCAAAGGCCAAGCAAAACGTCCCTGACGAGTCCACCGGAATCAGGTAGTTCTTAGCCGGTAACGCTAACTCTTTCCCGTTTGAGAAGTGGAACGACACCGTTGGCACGTCAACGCTCTTCTTCTTTGACAAGTCGAAGCACGTGTCGAATAAGGCCACGCCGTTTGTTGACGGCAGGTGACGCGTCCCCTTAACGAACTCGTCGCGGAGGGAGTTGTACACGTCTGTTTGCAGCCGGGTCACCGCCGTTCCCGAGTCCACGATCACCCCGCCGTCACCGTTATCGTCTAGCTTCAGAGCGGAGGTGGAGATGGGGAGCATGTTCCCGGCGACACTCAGCCCCGTCAGGTCCACGTAGTAGAATGTGTCCAGCTTCGAGTTGCGGATTAACGGAGCAGTGACCGCGCCAGGAGGGGTGGCCGAGTCAAACTCGAGAGTTGAGGTCGAGTCGGAGTCACGGTCCACGAGGCAGTATGAGAAGGAGGAGGCTTTAATCTGAGAAGGAAACGACAATGCGCCGCCGCCGAGCCCAATTAATCCCGCCGCTCCAACAAACAGCCCTTCATTACTATGTCCGCACCCGATTGCAACGTTATCCACCGCAGCCGACCCGCCGAAGGTTACGGATTCCGTCACAAAATCGCCGACGGTGTACGACCCGTCGCCGTAGCTCACCTCGTACAGACACGTATTGTTCCTGCACTCCGAAACGTCCAACGATTGACACTGCTTGGTGTCGCATGACAGAGGCGAGTATGTAGAAGACTTAACCGGGTCGAAAATCGGGTCGGCCTGCTGGTAACAATCGGCGCAAGGAGCGCATTGAAGCCAGTTCACATCGCTCCCAGTATCGAGCACCATGTAAACCTCACTCGCCGGGTGACCGATTCCAACTCGGGAGAAATACTCACCGCTACCCTGACTCGTTCCGGAGATAATGGGCCCCTCCAGCTTCTCATCCTCGAGCTCCATCTCCATAGGCTTCAGATCCGCCTTCGTTATCCCGTTAACCGCCAGATCTAGCCGAGTCTGAAGCGACTGTACTCTGGCCGAGTCACGCTCGAGTCGAGCCAAAGTTAGCGACTTGTAATCTCTCTCCGAGGTTCCCCGAACAGCCAATCGAGAATGTAGCGGAAGAGAGAACGCAGACGGAGAAGAAAACTCCCATTTCTGACTTTCAACTGACTTCTCGGCTTGAAAACCGAGGGGGGAGAACACAGTGAGTGTTTTGTGTATCGAGGACGGAATATCGAGCGACGTCGTTCTTGGGTTTTCTGAGATCACCCGAGAGAGAACTGGAGAAGTAAGGCAAAGAGTGAAGAAGAAGAAGCAGAGAATATAAGAAAGATTCGCCATTGCTCAAGTGAGAAAAGAAACAGTTGCGATGTGAGACTGAAGTTGGGCGGATAGAATAGGCGTATATATAGCAGCGGTGGAGAGAGGGACATTAATTCAGGATTTAACATAGATACAGTTTTTTTTTTTTTTTTTTTTTGAGAAAAAGAAACTTCATTAATTCAAATCAAAATACAGATAGTTGACAATAAACGAAGGAGGGGTAGAATTCCACTCCTGTCGTACAGACATAGAACAAGCTTCCCTAGCAAGACTATGAGCAACCATATTCACAGTACGACTAACATGAGAGATATGTACGTGAGGTAGTGAACATAGCATATCTTTGATATCCAAAACTACAAGATCGAATGATGAATCATTGGCACAGTGTTTTAAGCTTTGAACAATCTGAAGTGCGTCTGATTCCACTTGGATTCTGCTAACACCATGCGTTTTGGTCCACATGAGCGCCTCCCTGAGAGCCATAGCTTCGGCTTCTTTTGGGGTGAAGAGACCATTTCCGGGGATGCATGCAGCAGCAAGAAACTGACCAGTATCATCTCTGAGCACCCAACCATAGCCCACCCGATTATGATGAGAGTCCACCGCAGCATCTGTGTTCAGCTTGAAGTATCCTGGGTGGGGCTTTTCCCATTTTTGTTCCGGCTTGAATCTGGACGATGAAATCGCATCAGCATTCCCCACCACATTTCTCCAATCTGCAAGGTAGCGTTTAGATCCTTCAACCAAACACACAGGGCTCATCAGCTTTCCGTTCCAAACTTTCTCGTTCCTGGCTAACCACAAATTCCAGCAAACCATCAAGAGTAGGCAGCTCATGTCACTATTGAGTTTCTGCAAGTGGAAGTCAGCCCAATCTGCAAAAGAATTGTAACCATTCAAACTCAATGGCAGCCCAGTCATACTCCAAACCACTTTGGCATAGTCACATGCTGTCAACAAATGTAATGTGGATTCATCATCTCTTTGGCACATCTGACACTCCGCAGGACACTGGACACGTCTCTTCCTCAAGCTGTCTGTTGTCGGTAAACAACCCGAGCAGGCTTGCCACACAAAGGATTTAATTTTGCGAGGGATATTGAGCTTCCACATAACCGACCATGATTTTCGATGAACTTGATCCAGCTGAGGTGAGATGTCTTTATAACAGCCCTTAACAGTGAAAGATCCATTCCTGTTATCGTTCCATATTAACTTATCTTGTCTCTTCACTAAGGGTAGGGGTATACTCAGAATTAAGTTTACATCCCTTTCCACAAATATGTCACGGACCACCTCTTCATCCCAACCCGAAAAATCTTCTTTGATAAGAGCAGAAACTGGGGCGTCTTGAAGGAGAGGGAACGGTGGAGTAGTGACCCTTGCATTATCACGACACGGTAGCCACTTGTCGTCCCAAATTCTAACCGAGTTGCCGTCGCCTATCCTCCATCTGCTTTGCCTTCTAATTAACTCATGTGTCTCAATCAAACTGCTCCAGATGAAGGATGGACTGCCCCCTTTCCTTGCTACCAAAATTGAGCAATCTGGGAAATATTTTGCTTTGTAGACCTTTGCAACTAAGGAGTCTGGGTTCTGCAGGATCCTCCATGTTTGTTTTGCGATCATTGCCAGGTTGAACTCTCTTAAATTCCTGAAGCCAAGTCCCCCAAACGGTTTTGGTTTAGTCAAATGACTCCATTCTTTCCAGTTAATTCCACGCCTACTTGTGCAGACACCTTTCCACCAAAATGAGTTCATGGATCTTTCAATCTCACTAACCAGCGTCTTAGGCAGCAGAAATAAACTCATTGCATGCAGAGGTATGGCTTGGATCACATTTTTTAGGAGAACCTCTCTTCCTGCTTTGGTAAGAAACTTGTTAGTCCAGCTCTGCATTCTGTCCAAAATCCTGCCCTTGATGTAACCCAGGATTCCCCTTTTGTTCCTCCCAATGATTGCGGGTAGGCCCAGGTAATTTCCTTCTGCTCCTTCTCTTTGAATATGTAGGATGTTTTTGACCTGATCTCTTATGGCTATATTGACATTGGTACTGAAAGACACAGCAGATTTGTCGTAGTTAATCAACTGCCCAGAAGCCTTGCCATAGATCTCCAGAGTATCTTTTATGATTGCACTTTCCTGTTGATTGGCCTTAATGAAGATGAGGCTGTCATCCGCAAAAAATAGGTGTGAAATCCTCGGTGCTCCCCTAGCAATAGATATACCATGAAGTAGCCCTCTTGACTCCAACCTCCTTATTAAAGCACTTAGACCTTCTGCTAACAAGATGAACAGGTATGGTGATAAAGGGTCTCCCTGCCTTAGGCCCCTACTTGGAAAAATAGGACCTATCTCCTCATTCTCCTGTAAGACACAATATGAAACAGTTGAAACACAATGATAAATGAGGTTAGTCCAATGAGTTCCAAATCCCATTCTGTCCAGCAGTGCCTAAACAAGCTTCCACTCCACCCTATCGTATGCCTTGCTTATGTCCAACTTGATGGCAGCGTAACCGTCCTTGCCTTGGGCTTTTCTCTTCAAGAAATGTTGACATTCGAAGGCCAGCATTATGTTATCAGTGATCAACCTGCGAGGGACAAACGCACACTGGTTTTCGGACACAAGATTATTGAGAAGGGGTTTCAGTCTGTTTGCTATAACCTTGGAGATGATCTTATAGAGTACATTGCATAGAGCTATTGGTCTCAGATCTCCCATCACCTCAGGATCCTTCTTTTTGGGAATTAAAACGAGATGCGTGAAGTTAACCATTCCCGGCAGCTTTCCAGTCTCAATAACAGAGTTACAGAACTGGACGAGATCGTTCCCTAGTATATCCCAATATGCTTGGTAGAAACCAGGATTTAAACCGTCGGGCCCTGGGGATTTATCCGGTTGCATACTAAATACTGCACATTTAACCTCCTCATAAGAAACCCTTTTGGTGAGAGTGGCATTCTGCTCATCCGTGATCTTGTTATCAATGCAGTCCAGAATATCCTCCATGTCTCCAGGAGAAGTTTTGAACAAGGATTGGAAATAGTTACAAATTAGATTGTTCAGCTCTGGGCCCTTAGGTCTCCAAACTCCATTTTCATCCTTAAGCTTTTCCACTCTGTTCAGATTCCTCCTTGTTTTCACAACATTATGAAAGAACTTTGTGTTAGCATCCCCGTGTTTGTACCACGCCACCTTAGATCTTTGTCTCCAATAATCACTTTGAGTGTTGAGGATATTGAGGTATTGTTTTTGGGCTTCCCCGAAGGCCATGAGACTATCCGGGTCAGATTTGTTTTTGAGCACCTCCATTCTCCTGCGACTAAGTTCCAATCTCTTATTAAAATCCTTTGTGAGCCCCCTGCCCCATTCCCAGAGTGATTTACTACACCTGTCCAGCCGCTGCAAGATATTTTCCCCCCTAGAATAGTCCCATGCATTCCACACAACTTCGCGGCAAAAATCTTCTTTAATCCAGGTGTTCTCAAATCTAAACCGCTTTCTCTTTTCAATTTTTGGCGTGGGGGTAGGCAAAAGAATTAGGGGAATATGGTCACTAGAGGGAACAATAGTCGACCAAGCCTTAGCTCTCTCAAAGTTTTCCAGCCAAGTAACAGAGACCAAAATTCGATCAAGCTTTTCTTCTACCCAGTTTGGAGTCCCCCTCCCTTTCTCCCAAGTAAATTGATAGCCATTGAAGGGGAAATTGCTCAGACCACACCTCTCGATAGTACTACTGAAACCCCTAATTAGATATTCAGGATGGGGGTGAGTACCTCGTTTCTCCTCTTGGCTAAGCAAGTCGTTGAAATCTCCCATTAGAAGCCATGGAAGATCACTTCTCGCCGCAAGATCTGTGATTAGATTCCAGGAGTCTGATCTGCGCGTTCTTTTCGGCATCCCGTAGTAGCCGGTAAATCTCTAACAAAGATTGCTGCCTTCCAGAGTAATTTGGGAATCTATATGATTTTGGGAATAAGATAATACTGTAACATTAATGTTGTCTTTCCAAAGAAGAGCCAGCCCACCTCCACGGTCCACCGGATCAACAGTGAAGCATCCTTGCCATCCCAGCTTCCTCTTAATAGCATCCATTTTATTTTTATTGACTAAAGTTTCCATAAGAAAAATCAGAACGGGCTTCCTCTGGTGGACTAAGTCCACTAACACTTGAACTGTCGAAGGATTGCCCACACCCCGACAGTTCCATGATAAGAAACTCATTGATCTAGGCGGGCCTGGGCTCCAGGTCCCGCCTCTAGCATGTTTTTTGACACGTTGGGCTGAATAGAGAAGTCCATACTCATGTGATCTTCAACAATGGACTCACCTTCGGTCCAGCCCAATTTTCTTTTCCTTTGATCCACAACAGACGACCCATATTGAATAAGAGCCTGTTCCGGGTTGGTCATGGGAACCGTGAGCATTAAATGTGCAACCGGTTGACTCTGCTCTCCATTAAATGAACCTGCCTCTTGAGCACTGTCCATCTGCGTATGACCTGCTGGGTAAAACCCATCTCCAGTAGAACTTTCACCTAAACCTCCCATCTGTCCCTGAGCTTGGTTTGCGTGAGGTAAAGGGATTTCAGGATTTTCCACTTTTGGCGACCGTCTGGGAAGCTCCTCCAACAACCAGCGAAGCCCGCGGTTCGGTTGAGTTCGCCGGCCGGCAGCTCTGAGTTCAGCCGTGAAAGGTCTAACTGTGTCCTTAGTTAATCTTTCAAGGTGGTTGCTGCAGTACCTCTCGCTATGGCCGATCAAACCACATAAAAAGCAGAAGGTCGGGAGTCTCTCGTACTTGAATTCAACGTAGAAGATTTCACCTTTGCTCGGTTTGATTTTCATCTTTCTTTTGAGAGGAGAGGAGATATCGATGCGGACCCTTACCCTCATAAACTGCCGCCAAACTCCATTTAAGTTAGCCTCATCCACTCCAATGAACTCTCCCATAAACGCTCCTATGATCTCAGCTGTCTTCTTGTTTTGCATGCTCGCCGGAAGGTTATATGCCTGGACCCAGAAATCTGCATGGCTTAAGTTCGCAGTAGTCG